TATGGATTTTTTTTTTTCTTTTTCATTTTTATCGGTACCGGGGATCGAACTCACGACTGCCGGCTTGCAAGGCAGGCACTTATGCTGCTGAGCTAAATCCCCAGCCCTTTTATGGTTTTTTTTTTTGCTATACATTTAAAATTTGCAATTTAACCACCTCTAAGTTTAACTTTGCAGCATTAAATATATTCACATTACTGCACACTCAGTTCATCTCCAGAACTTTTTCATCTCTTAATAAAATTTCACTCATTACACACAAACTTCCCAGTACCCCTTCCTCCCTGCAGGCTATTGGACAGATCCTCAGCCTTTTGTTGCAGTTTTCAGAAATGTTGGTTTACCATTGATCATTACATCAAAGAAATATCTTCTCAAATTTATGCACAAAGTATTTTTTATTTTGGGGAGAGATAGGGCCTTGATATGTATTCCAGGCTGGTCTTGAACTCCTATAAAGCCCAAGTTGGCCTTGAACTTGTGGAAATCCTCCTGCTTTTTTGCTTTACAAGTGCTGGGATTATAAACATGGGCCACTATGGCTGGCTAAAAAAGCAGTACTTGTAATAGACTGTGTGCATGAAAATATTCCCAGGTTAGTGACCACCAATGAGATACTTTGGATTGCAAATCTCAGTAGACCCTGTGAAGACTCAAAGAATATTGTACAGGGTTTCTACAATTTAATACCCCTTAGTTGTATTAATTCTGTTCACAATGTGACACCATTTTAGAAAATTATTAAATTCATTATGAAATAATTCTGTAGTGTAAATAATTCAGAGTACATAGGCTTTTCTTCAGTACAATTATATCTTTTAAAAGAAAATGACTCCTTTTTATTTTTTTGTTACAAGGTCTACATAGTTCAGGCTGGCCTAGAACTCTAGCTATTCATCAGCGTTCTGAGTGCTGGGATTAGAGGTGTGTGCTATCTTGGGCTTCTTTCATATACTTTTTCTTAAAAGTAAAAACTGGCAAAGCTTTTTTATTACATTATTTATGTTTAATTTTTAGAAGATACATAGACCTTTTATTCTTTTCTCTTGACTACTTCCATTGACAGGGTCTCACTGTGTAGCCAAGTTGTCTTGAACTTGTGACTCCACTGCCTCAGCCTCCCAAGTGCTGGGACTATAGCTGTGCACCACTACACCTGGCTCTATTTGATTAATTTCCAATTATTTCAGTGGGGAAAAGGAAATTTACACAAAATTGATCAAAAGTAGGGCCATGTGACTATCTCAGGTATAGAGCACTTGCACAGCATGAGTAGGGTCCTGGATTTGACCCCAAACAACACCCAAAACTCCTCAAATTTGATATTAATACTTGGAACTATTATGAATGCTGGACTTTTAATTGCAATCACAAGAAAGCAGTATGTATGTTTCACAGGTCTCAAATTGCTATCCATTACTACCAAACAGCAAGGAAAGAAAATTAACTCTCCCCAAGCCTATAGGTGATATATATATGGCAGCAGCTCTTACCCTAAAAAGGATAGGAATAGCATTTCTGAATTTCTATATAGTTTTACTGGTTTCCTGCAAATGCCTCTCAACTGCTCTCCATTTATACTCCATAGAGTAACCACTTATTAAGTTGGTGTATATAGACTACATGCACAACTTTAAATCCATGTTACTGTCTACAAAATTTTTACAAAAAAATTTTTTATTGGCATGTCTGATATATTCATTGCGATGAGCAGGTATTATATTGTATCTTCATCTTTCTTTATTCTTCATCCTCACATCAATTTTTTTTTTCAGATCAAATTTTTGAGTCAGGATTTTTTGGCAAGAGAAATCAAACTCAGGACCTTGCATGTACTAGGCTGGCACCGTACCACTGAGCTATAACCCCACCTGAGACAGCTCTTATCTTGCTAGGCATCCCAGACAATGGCATGAATGTAGGATGATTCTCTGCTTTGGGCTCTTAAATCCTGGGATTATAGGCGTTGTCACCATGCCCTTAGACTCAGTCTCACTTGGTAGTGTAGGCTGGCCTGGAAATTCTGGCAATCTGACTCAGCCTCCCAAGTGTTAGGATTATAGGCATGTATAACCACACCCACCATGTGCACTTTTCTTGGGAAGGGCAATTCTTTCAAATTCTTTTGACTCCACAATCCAAATAAAATTAAACAGCCAGGCACAAGTGGTGCTTTCCTAAAATCTTAGCTACCCAAGTTACTTTAGATGCTGAGCCATGTGGTCAATATGGGCAATTCGAGGAGACTCTGTAGTTCAGTGCCCCTTGGGTTCCTCACTTACCTTCTACTCTATGAGTTGAGAAAACAAATTTGAAGGACTGGGATTTACCTCAGTGGTCCAAGCGCTTGCCTGGTAAACGTGAGGTTATCAGTTTAATCCAGGTACAAAACCACCCAAACCAAACTTGATATTGAAGAGGTCCAAAAGTGCCAGTTTTCTTTTTGTCCTAAGGCAGGAATTTGTGACAAGCTTTTTGCATCATCCTCCCGAGTGCCTGCCTCACAATGCTTGCCAATTTTCTACACTGAGCACTCCTCCAACAGATACATGTGTACCTAGTTCTGACAAGTTCTTTTGCAGACCTGGGGATTGAACCAGCCTTTGCACCGAGATACAATTCTGCCTTTTTTTTTTTTTGACTAGGCTCAACACTGTATCTTCTGAGCCACGCATGGTGGTGCATACCTAATCCCTAATCCCAACACTCAGGAGGGTGAGGCAGGATTGCTGAGTACGAGGCCAGCCTGGGCTGCATAGTGGGACTCTTCTCAAAAAAAAAAAAAAAAAAAAACCATTGTAGTATCGCAGTCTCCCAGAGGACTGATTATAGGATTACATGTGGCTACCATGACTGGCTCTTATCTTGTGGTGAGAAAAACTTTATTCTTACTATTTTTGAAGACTATGATATATTCACTGTAGTCATCATATTGTACAACCCACCTTACAGTCCAGATCAGCCTCCAACTTGTGATCCTGCCTTCACTCACCTGAGTGCTAAAATTAAAGACGTACACTGAGACAAAATGGTGCTACCTGTGCAGGTCCATCTGCTCATCGAGGTCATGTGAAGCCTCACAGTGGCAGTGAAGCAGGATGAGCAGAAATGAATTAAGGACTGGCAGGAGCCCAGGGTAGCAGCACATTGAAGCAAGGTGCCAGCATCCTACATTGCCCCAGTGCCAGCAGATGAAGCTTCCAAGTTGTGTGTAAGACATACATTACTGTGCTTGGTTTACACCAGACCTTTACTTTTTGGCATTGAGGGGATGGCATACTGGGGATAGAACCTACAGCCTTTGCACTGGGTTATATCCCCAACTCTGTATTTTGAAACAGAATCTAGCTCAGTTGCCCAGGGAAGATTCAGATTTTTGATCTTCCTATCTCCTAAAATACCGGGGCTGCAGGATGCAGCACTGCAGTAGGTTTACAACAGACTTCTTACGCTTCTGAAACTTGTTTGTATCCTTTAACATCTCAACTTTACTCCCTTTCCTCCAATTACCTCAGCTCCTGGTAGTCACCACTGTATGTTCTGTTTGTACAGGGTCAATTTTCTTAGATTCTAGAAGTGAGACTATGAAACACAGCTCTTTTCCATTTTTTTTCCTCCTGAGATTGTGTCTACGTTGTTTGCCGACCTCATATGGTTGTCCTGCCTCAGCCTCCCAAGATCTAGACTTCTGGTCCTCTACTGCATCCAGATAGTATTTCTTTTTTGGTACTGGGAATTAAACTCAGGACCTCGAACTTGCCAGGCAGGAGCTGTGCCACTGAGCTACATTCCTGGTCCAAGTATTTCATTCTTTTTTAAGGCTAACTAGGATCACACAGTGTATATATCTCATTTTAATTTTCTTTACTCATTCAACCACTGATGGACACAGGTTGATCTCTCATTTTGATTGTGAAAAATGCTGCAATGAATATGGTAGTGTAGTTATCTCTTCAACATACTGAGTTCGCTTGTTTTAGATGCTGCAGTGTATGGTACTTTGTAATTTTTTGAGGGCTCTCCTGTTTCCCACAATGGTTGTATTAATTTATAGATTCCTGCCAATAGTATTGAAGGGTTCCTTCTCATACTAGTGTCATGGCACATGCCTGTGAATTCACCACTTGGGAGGCTGAGGCAGTAGGATCAAGAGTCCAAGGACAGCTCACAGCCACATGGCAAGTTCAAAGCTGACAGAAACAGAGCAAGACTCATCAAGGAGAGGGAGTTCTGACAGGATCCTATGGTACAAAAATCACACATACACACAGAGCTGGTAATGTAACTCAGTATTTCCTGGGTTCAGTAACTCTGTCTCTCTAGTCCTGGGATTACAGGCAAGTACCACAATTTGTTTTTTTCTTCGGCATAATGCTAGTACTGAATAGCCCAGGATTGGTAACTTTTTTAGTAGTGAGAATCAAACTCTCAACCTCATGCTTGCCAGACAGGCCCTGTGCCACCAAGCTGTATCACTGGCTCAGGATTTGAAACTTTACAAAAACAAAAAAAGGGGGATTTTACAGACTGAAAAGGAGACCATAATATTCTATGTATTAAAAGTCTAATAAAAACACCTGAAACACTGAAATATTACTAAGTAACCTAGAGTGGGAAAAAGCATGAAACAGCTCTCAATGTAGTTATGGTTGGGTATAGTGGCACATTCTTTTTTTGTTTTTGTTTTGTATTTTTGGGACAGGGTCTCGCTGTACAGTTCAGGCTGACCTTGAGCTCATTTTGTAGCCTACGCTGGTCTAGAACTTGCAAGATCCTCCTGCCTCAGCCTTCTGAATGCTGGGATTACAGGCGTGAACCACCACGCCCGGTTTAGTGGCACATTCTTATAATCTAAATAACCTGGGAGCTGAGGCAAGAGAATCGCCACAAGTACTACAAGGCCAGACTAAACTATACTACATAGTATAGTACAGTATTCTCCTCCCAAAATTGATGTAGTTATTAGTTTCCTACTGTAATGAAATAAAGAAACAATCCCATTTTCAAAGAAATTAACTTTTATTTGAAAGGAGACTACTTCCCCCCACACGTATCGTGCAAGGACTCTAATACTATATAATAGCCTGCTTAACCAATGTGCCAATACCATTAACAGTAAATTATACAATTGCTCTAGGTAATAAATAAGGGTTGTCCTTCACTGATTAAGGGAATACCTAAAACTTCAATAATTTTAACACAAAAATCACATTTTAAGTTTGTAAAGTTTAACATATATTTAAAATACATGTTTGGAAGGCATCCACAAATTTTTCATCTCTAAAAAGTGACTTAATTTTAGAATTCAAAAATTACATTCTTCAAAAGAAATGTCCAAGTGTTTTCTTCTAAAGCTCTGAACTTTCTACACTCAACTATGTGACTGTTCCATGCCATCCCAGACAAACCGGACATGACTGAACTACTTCATATGTTACTATCATCCCTAAAACAATGTTAAAAAAAAAACAAAACAAAACAAAAATGAGTTGTAATAAATGCAGATCTCCAATACAATGTCTAGTACAATATGTGACACAAAGGTTTCCCTCATATGATTAGCTAGCAGTTAATCTTCCCTAAAGGCAAGGAAAAATCATTTACAAAGCGTAACACTGGATTCTTCTTTACTGGATATTTAACTAATAAAAATGACAATTACATCTGTAAGTGTATTATAATAATGGGGTGGAAAATAGCAATATAACTGACAAAAATGTATACATTAAAAAATCAAAGACTTTTTTTAAGGAGTAGGAAAGATGAGAAGCTTGGGGAAATTGGGAGAGAAAAAAAAAAAAAGAAAAATTAGAAGGAAAAAAGTCCTTAACTGCAACCATTCTGTTATCAATAGCGTCCTGAAAGAGAAAGCAACAAAGAAGTTAAAATGACTATTATTTAACTTGCCCAATGTTTTCCCAATTATCAATTTAAGACACAACAAATATGCTAAAATAAGTCATTTAGAAATGAGATTTTAGGGGCTGGGGATTTAGCTCAGCAGCGTAAGTGCCTGCCTTGCAAGCAGGCAGTCATGAGTTCGATCCTGGTACCGATCGATAAAAAGCAAGAAATGAGATTTTGATGCTGTGAAGCTCACGTACTTGGGCTGTAGGAACGCGATCTTGATCGTGATCTGTATCGGCTATAATAAGGAGAAGGAGATCTTCTTCTGTAAAAAAATCAAAGATTACTTAGCATAGCACATAATCACTCCAGCAAGACAAATGAAAATAAAAATCACTCAAAAGAATAATAACATACCCAAGAAAACCATTAAAAGTTCTGTGTCCCAGTGGTACTAGAATAGTAAGCATATGACATAACAAAAAATATAGACAAATGTGCGTGGTGATGCATGTCTGTAATTCCAGCACTTGGGAGGCTGAGGCAGGATTGTGGCCATGAGTTCGTGGCCAGTATGGATTAGATAGTGAGTTCATGACCAGCCTTACCTGCACAGTAAGACCCTATCTCAAAACAAAAACAGCACCACTTCTTTTCTACAATGTATATAAGAGCTCACATATGCAGCCTGGGCTGGTCTTGAACTCATGGTGATCTTTCTGCTTTAGCCTCCTGAGTGTTAGGATTATAGGCATGTGCCACGCCTGGCTATCACACCTGACTAAAACATTCAGATTTTCATTTATACAGATCAAACATAAAAGTGCCAAATATTACTCTTGTACTATCCAGTCAGAAACAGAAATGTTGAGTTATAACATTACCTGTACCGGTAATCATAGTCCTCATATCTGTCGTACCCACGATCATATCCTCTGTCATAGTAAGAATCTCGACGTCTGCCGCCGCCACCGCCTCCACCACCTCCACCTCCACCCCCGCCACCACCACTACTACAAAAAAGTGTAAAAATTACACATCAATACAAATATACCTTCTAGGAACGCTTAAATACGATGTGCCTTTTATGTCAAGTATCTCATTTTGCTCACTTTCATGGTATTCTGTTTTGGTTTCTTTATTCATTCTATGCTTTCACCAAATACTCCAAACTGAACTCTACAGTAAATTGTTTACCAATTAATGCACTGCTTAGGTCATCAGATTTTTTTCAATGAGGTGAAATAAAATACTGAATAGGAAAATAAGATGAAATCCTAAAATTATGCTTATGACTAACAGTAAAGTATGTAATAAATGTCAAAATCAACGAAGTAGCCTTCCCAAATGCCAAAGAGAATGAACATCTTACACTGAGGCTTAGCACTCAATTACAAGGTCTGATGTTTAAGCCAATGGCAGTGAATATGAAATATAAACCCTTTTGCTTGGTGTGTTCCACACTCCTACCCATAAGGAACACTATTTGCACTTCAGTTTTCTATATAAGCTCTTGGTGCCCAAACCCACATTTCCCCCGAGTTTCAAATTCAATGAAAGCCTGTATTCCTTTATTATCAAGAAATGTCCCTGTGAATATTGTTTTTGTTTGTATATTCAAAAATTATAAAAACCCATTGATGTTTTACTTGTGGTATCTTTTAAAAAATGAGCGCTACAATCAATAAAATCGGTCCTATGTATGTAAGACTCCTAGATCTCATATGAACCGAAAAGAGAATAAATTTTTGAACAGTACATAATTTTCTAGTATTCAGTAATTTTTTTCTTTTCTTTTTTTTTTTTTTTATCTTTTTCCTTTTTATCGGTACCAGGGATCGAATTCACGACTGCCTGCTTTCAAGGAAGGCACTTATGCCGCTGAGCTAAATCCACAGAGTAATTTTTCTTTTTTTTGGTACTGGAAATCAAACTTTTGTGCTTGCCAGGCACGCACTTATGCCACTGAAGCTGTATCCTCCATCAATTTTTCTACTTGCACATTACCAAGACAAGAATCGGGAATGAACGGAGTTTTAATTAATGCTCCTAACTCAAATATATGTATAAAATGGTGTATTCATGTATTTATAGTAAAACCAATATATTAATTAAATATGTTGTCAGTTTTAAAACAGTGATCCAAGACTGTAGTAAGTCATTTTTTTTCTTACAGGAAAAAAACATTTTATCTTCCAATTAATTCAAAATTCATGCCTCTTTTTGGACATAGTATCTTGCTATGCAGTTCAAGCTGGCCTTGGACTCTCTATGCAGTCCAGATTGGCCTCAAACTCATGGGAATCCTCCTGCCTTGGCCTTCTGAGTGCTGGGATTATAGCCATGTGCTATCATTCCTGGATAAAAAGTCACAAATTCTCGTGGACTTCTGGCTCTTATAATTTAACTCAGGAACTCTGACTGGGGGGGGGGGGGTGAGAAGTAGTGCTGAGGACTGAACCCAGAAACGTGCACATGGGTAGACAAGCTGTCTACCACTGAGCCACACTCCTAGCACTTATAAAAAATCTGAAGTCTTACTGAGTTGGTCTGCCCATGTAGATGCCTGGTGTAGGTGTATGTGCCCTCTTGGTGATAGAATAATCCACACGAATTCTTCTACCATCCAGCTCCATTCCATTTGCCCTTTCCATAGCCTATAAAGGAGAACAAGTATAGAAAGTCATACCTTATTTCATCAGTCTTGCAGTGACTATTCCTTAAAATTAAGCACAAAGTATTTGGAATCCAAATAAACTTAGTTTTGAAAATGACAGTTAAACAGTTTGTAGAGAGGACTGTATAAACATTTCTAGACCTCCACAGTGTATAGAACATATTTAAATTTTTTTCTCCTTTTGGTTTGAGACACTATATATACTTCTTACTATATATAATTCAGATTGGCCTCAAACTCATGGCAATCCTCCTGCTTCAGTCTCCCCAAGTTCTGGGATTATAGGCATGCGCCACCATGCCTGGTTGGGATATATTTAATTCACCAAGACTAAAGAGATACACATTTAAGGCAACACTTTCCAGCCTCTTGTTCAGAACAAACCAATGAAGAATTATGAATTGAACCCAGAAAGCACTGAGCAACACCTGGAAGCCTTTGCAGGGTGGGGGAGGAGGAGTATGTGTCTCTTTAGTTCCCTGGGCTGGTGTTGAGCCTATAATTTTTCCTACCCGAGTCCCCCAGACATGTGGTGCTACCATGCCTGTTTTTTATCCCTACCTTCTTAGATTTTTTAGCACTGGGGATTTGAACTCTGCGTGTTGGTATTACAGCTCTTCTTTTGTTAAAAAAAATTTTTTTAAAACTTTTTATCGGTACTGGGGATCGAACTCATGACTGCCTGCTTGCAAGGCAGGTGCTTATGCCGCTGAGCTAAATCCCCAGCCCCTTCTTTCGTTAAATTTTTACACCGGTTCCAAGTTGGTAAATTGCTAAGACTGGACCTGAAATTGTGATCCTCCTGCCTCAACCTCCCAGAGTGTTGGCACTGTATCACTATACCTGGTTCTAGCTAATTCCTATTTAATTATACCCCATCAACTCAAGGCTATAATTTTTGCTGGTCTCAGGGATACATGTCTGTAATGTTAGCTACTCAGCAGGTTGCGAAAAGATTTCAGATTTGACATCACAAGGCCACTTATTGAGATTCTGTTTCAAAATAAAATGATGTTACACCCCTAGAAGACCAAGATTTTTTTATTTTCAACTTCAAAATAAAGTTTCTGTCAGATATAGTGATGCATACCTGTAGTCTCACCACTTGGGAGTCACTGACAATTGGACTGCCATAAATTTGAGAATGGCCTGTGCTACATAGTGAGTTTAAGGACACCCTGGACTACACAGACACTGTAGTCCCAAAAGTATAAATTAAAAAAAGTTTATAGTTTCTATAATTTTTTTCCCCAAATAGATGAGTCTACATATACCAATTTTCATCTTATATACATCAATAGCCTTGGGTTTTGCAACATACTCTTCCGTTTAAGCATTTCAGAAGGTCAAACCAAAGACTGGGAACAGTCACAGTTACGGAAAAGGAAGCATACAACTCAGGAAGCCTGTACAGTTCTGAGACCGACAGTACTTAATTTCAGTCCAGGTAATTCCAACTAGAAACTGCAGTCCAGCTGGTCAGCCTAAAATTAGTTTAACTATTACTTCAGTTGTTACACTGCCACCTAGTGAACTCAAAGTAAAAAGGAAAACGTCTTTACACCTGGGTTCACAGTTCCCCCATCACTTTGCCCTTAAGTCTTAGTTACAGTAAATACTAAGATAATTTAACCACTTTAGCAAATGGAAATAAACGAAGTTTTTAGAATCCTTGGTTTATTTTATCCAGAAATAAACCAAGTCTTCATGCTGAGCTACATTTCCCCCTTTTTTAAAATTTAAATGTTGAAACAGGGTCTCCCCAAGTCACTGTGTGGCCCAGTCTGGGATCATACTTGTGACCCTCCTACTTCAGCCTCCCACAGTGCTGAGCTTACTATGGCTGGCTCTACTATATTTTTCCTTTCGGAAACAGGGTCTTACTATGTAAGGTACGCCCTAAACTCAATAGCGATCCGTCTGCCTCAACTGCCTAAGTGTTGTAATTACATGTATGCACCGGCAAGCCCTAGTATTTCTTCTCCTTTTTTTTTTTGGTCTTTTTGAGATAGGATCTCACTACACAGTTCATACTGACCTTGATCTCACTTTGTAGACCAGGCTGGTCTTGAACTTGCAATGATCCTTCTGCCTCAGCCTCCTGAGTGCTGGGATTACAGGCATGTGTCTGGCTTATGCTCTAATATTTCTAAATTGTACTTTTGCCTCTTAATTGAGGATAGGAACAAACAAATGTAACAAAGAAGTCATGATATTGAGAAATTAAGACATTAGATTGTTACATAAATAACTGACAAAATTTTTTGTTAAGATTTATTCAGGGTTTCTGTCAGCTTTGGCACTAACTACTAACATTTTGGGCCTGCTAACTATATGCTATATGAGGAGTCTTCTTGGTACACCTATCTCCTTTTTAGAGACAAGGTTTGTTACCCTGGCTGGTACAAAACTCATAGGTTAAAATGAGCCTTGTGCCTCAGCTTCCACAGTACCTGGGACTAAAGGTATGTGTGTCTACACTCAGCACACTGCAGTGTTGGGTAGTGAAATCTCTGGTTTCTACCCACTAGTGCCAAAACTATTTACTCAGGACCTTGCGTTTGCCAGGCAGGTATTGTTGCCACTGAGCTATATCCCTGGCCTGCCCACCCCAGTCTGTATGATGCACGATCTTGCTATGTTGTTCAAGCTGGGCCTTGAATTCACAGTAGTCCTCCTACCTCAGCCTTCTGAGTGCTAGGATTACAGGCATGCGTGTCAGACTCCAAAGATTTAACTTATTTTTGCTGTGACTGCTTATATTCCAAGTATCACTGTTTTGCTTTCAACTACAGAACACAGTGATCAGTATCAAGAGAACAGAAAAACAAGGTTCTGTACTTGAGCAGTTAAGACAAAATTATCATGTTCCAAGCATCAAAATCATTTTAAGAGAACACACTACTTTTTCCATTAACTTGAGCATAGCCCATTTTACCAGGGAAGATTTCATTTAGATTACCTATACCAGAAAGCTGGAGCTGAAAATTCAAACTGTGGACATTCAAATGGAATGACTGAGGCTGGGGTTAAATCAGAGCTAGAGAGAAAATAATACTCATAAAAACAGGGCTTACGTCTTCTCTTTTTGCAGTGAAGCAGGATAATTCAAGGGCCTAATTTAGGTTAATCCTCTACCACTCAGTTATAGCCCCAGCCTGAAAAAAGTTAACTTTTAATATTATTATGGATTAAGAACTGGTGGTCAACTTAACGCCAGCTGGATTACATCAGCATGGCATTGAGCAAAGATGCTCCACATGAGGAAAGTTGCCAAAATAGGTGAAGAAGGGAGGTGTAGAGGCGTTGAGGTTTAATGCGTTGTTGCATGGAGGCATTGTGAGTTCTCCTGCAAGTTGCTGTTTGATCTGTTAGATTCTCCTGGAGAGAGATTCTCCTTTGGCCTTCACATCGAGCACTGCTTCCTGGCATGTACCCGACTGTGCTTGTCACTGGAACAGCTTGGGGCCTCCATGTCGCTGAGGATGGCTGTGGTGCCTTTCAGGATAGCCCTGGTCTTTGTTGTGAGTGTGACTTCTCGGCTCCAGTGTAGAATCTTCATCCCACCAGCACAGCTCCTTCACTAGCTGGCATAGGCTTTCTGGTTCCACCGCTGACCTTTGGGTCTTCCCGGCACGGATCCGTAAGAGACTGGCTTTAGTCCTTTTTGTGGGCTCTGGACCAATGTCATGAGCTCTGGGTCTTCATCTGGACTCATGTGGGACATTGCTGTGGGAATCAGGCTCTTGACTAAATAATCTATGTCTTTGATGTTATAGATTTTCTGCATTTTCTTCTGTTAACTCCCAGTGACCACTATAAATATATTATAAACCTCATGCCCTGATTCTAATTGTTCTCTGCACAACCCCTAACTACAACAAATAGTAACAATACTATTATTCATATCAATTTCAATAAGAAAATTATAAAAACAAATTTACCTCTTTTGAGTCATCTATTCTCTCAAAATACACAAAAGCAAATCCTCGAGATCGTCCGGTTCGCTGATCATAAACCACATTGACACCACTCAGTGGTCCATATCGAGAAAACACTTCACGAAGATCTCTCTCTGTTGTATACAAGCTGAGGCCAAACACACCTAGACAAGTATTGGGATCTGGATTCGCCTATTGAATAAAGATATTATTACAAGTTTAATTAAAAGACCTAATTAAAACCAAAATAACTATCCGTGGTGGTGCACTCATGTAACTCAGCACTCAGGAGGGCTGAAGTCAGAAAACTGCTGCAAGTTCAAGGCCAGCCTGAAATGTATAATGAGACTTAAAACAAAGATCGGGGCTTAGGATTTAGTTCAGTAAGTCATGAGCTCCATCCCTGGTACCACTCCGCCCCCCCCCCAAAAAAAACCCCAATAGTACAGTGCTTTGTTTAGAATACACAGTTTTTAGTCATTTGCAAATAGGTTTTATTTTATTTATTTATTTTTAACACCCTAGACTCCAAGCATGCTATATAAGTGCTTCACTGAGCCACATCCCCAGCCTCGTTTATTTTTTTCTTTTGAGACAAGGTCTTATTTTGCAGGCTGGCCTTGAATTGCCAGGCCAGTTTCCCAGAGTGCCGGATCAGCTTTTCTGATCTGCTGGGATTATAGGTATGTGCTATTACATATAGGTAGAAATAAGACTAAGAAAAACTAAGGGGGCCAGGGATTTAGATCAATAGTATAAGTGCCTGCCTGGCAAGCATGTGATCATGAGTTCAATCCCCAGCACACGCACGCACACACACACATAGACACACACACACACCAAAAAAAAAAAAGATAAAAATCTTATTTGAAAAAAAATTTTTTTTATAGTTCACACAGCAATTCAATTTTTTTTTAGACAATTCAATTTCTTTAAGTAAATTCAGCCAGAGCTTGAATGAAAACATTTTCATTCCTAGGCCAGTGATTTTTCAGAATTTATTATATGAATTCATCCTTTGAACCCTGATAGTTAATATTTAATGTGATTTACTTGGAATCACTGATTTAGATGTATCTAGTTTTCCTTCTTGAGCAAGGATATTCTTTCAATGTTATCCTGATGCATATTTTAAAATTAAATGTACAGATTTCTAACCATCATTAAATACTGATGTGCCCTATCACACTGAAATAAATGGCAGTCTTAACATGGAAGAAGTGCAATGGCATAGCAGAAAGGCACAAAATCAGGCAGCCTATCAACATCTGGGGTTTGCTGGCTTGCAAGTTAAAACAAAAAACATTTCTCACTTACTGTTCTCATTCTATAACATGACAGCCTGCCTCAGAGATGTTAAAGAATATTACATATTGAATGGAAATGTTAGCTATAATTAGTACTTAGATTTTGATAGTGTGTGTGTCTTGTATGGGGATCAGACCAAGAGTATTTATTTGACTAATATCCCTAAACATTTTTGATTTTTTTTTTCGTACCAGGGATCAAACTCACAACCTTGTATTTGCCAGGTAGGTGCTTTGTGGCTGAGCTATATCCCCCGCCCCATCTTTTTTGATATTTTTATAGGAGGTCTGCCTAAGTGTCCCATGGAGGGCTCAAACCTGTGATCCTCCCCTCTTTTCAGCCTTCCAGACAGAATGTTGCAATTATAGGTGAGTTCCCCAACAAACCTGGCAAGATTTTGGTATTTTCTTGCCTTCTTCCCATGATGGTAAAACTCTGAATGTTCACATAATATTGTTCTCTCACCTTGGTTTATGCTTTTCACTTTCATTCTTGGAACATTTCTCCCAATTTCATCTCTCTTTTTTTTTAAATTTCATCTCTTTTTAACCTACTCAAAAGTCCAGAAAATATAGCTCCTTTGTAATAAAGTACATTTAGACTTGCCAGGATGGTGACATTTCTCTAGCATAAATAAAAGGTTTACCTTTTTTCTTTAATTCTGAAGCTAAAGCAACAGTTAGTTGAGGAATTTTTTGAGCATCACTTCTAGAACAATAGCCTAAGCTGGGCTGGTAATGTGGCCCTGTAGTACGGCTGAAACAGGAGGCTAACTTAATATAGATTTGAACCAGTCCGGACAGTATCATAAAAATCCATTTCAAAACAAAAAAACACAGGTGAGGGCCTGGTGCATGCCCATAATCCTGGCACTCAGGAGGCTGAGGCAAGAGGATAGCCATGAGTTCAAGGCTAGGCTGGGCTACAGAGTGGGTTCAAGGCCAGCCTGAATTACACAGGCTAAGTTTTGTTTAGAGACAGTGATATCCTTGTCTCAAAACAAAACAACAAACAAACAAAAAACAAAACTGGAAGAAAAAAGACAAAAATAGGGGCCTAACTCTCAATGGCAAGATACTATGCTATCATTTCGCAGGAAAGAGAAAACCAGGTAACTTCTATACCACATACCCTGCTTCCTGTATGCCTTCTCCGGTTAGACATCGGTGAGTGACTTCGGCTCCTTCGCCGCCGGTACTCTGGTGTATATGATCTACTTCGAGAGCGTCTTCTATGAGAGTGAGAGTGGGATCTGGATCGAGTGTAACGTCTGTGAGAATGCCTCCTTGACCTTGACCTTTGAGAGAAATAAACTTAGGTTAAAAAAAACAACTCTGCAGGCCAGGGATTTAGCTCAGCGGCATAAATGCCTGCTGACAAGCATGAGGTTGTGAGTTCATCCCTGGTACAAACCACTCCCCCCCACCAAAAAAAAAAAAACACCAAAAAACAAAAAACCCCACAAAACCAAAAACCAAAACAAAAATTCCAACAAATGCGTAGCAGTCTTCCTTATTCCATAGATGTATACATATATTCCTGCCTATTCATAGCTCCTCTATCCTTTTCTGAACATAAATCAAACAAGTGCTCTATCATGGAGGATATTCTTTTTTCTTTTCTAAGAAAAAATTTCTTTCTCTTGATACTTGACTGTATTCTACAACCAAGCTATTCTCAGCCTGTCCCTCTAAAATTCACTCCTTCCACCTCATAAGCATGTTAAAGCTCTACTTTCTTTAAAAAGAAAAGCTAAGAGTTCGATCCCTCGTACCAATAAAAAAGAAAAAGACAGACAGACAGACAGACACACACACAAAAAGAAAAGCATACCATTACCATTGCCATAATAAAATTCTTTGATTTTTGTCTTTTTCCTTTTTTATCGGTACTGGGGATCGAACTCACGACTGCCTGCTTGCAAGGCAGGCACTTATGCCACTGAGCTAAACCTCCAGCCCCAATTCTTTGATTCTTGTAACCTTGTTTATATAGTTCTGTATAAAATATTAGCTACAGATTCACTGCTAATCATTATTTCCTTTCCAATCTTTCTTTAGCCTGTTGCAATCTGTTGTTAATTCATCAACAACCTAAATATCCATCTATTTTAATAGTTACTTTTTGGTCTCTATGATTAATTAAAAATTTATAATTTTACCATTCATAACGTACAGAGACTATAAGAGATGTTAGTCATACAAAATAACTTCTAAGAGACAGCTGATAAATATTATAAATTCTAAGGGCCACAAAGCTTAAAAAGAGCATAAAAGCACAAGAGGAAGGAGAATAAAACTAATGTAAGCAGATTACGAAACAAATGCAACAAGCGATAAAGTTGGGAGATTTAACAGAATTTGCTAGGTAGACAGGAAAAAGTGATCCAGGAATAGCAAGAGCAAACGTTCTTTGGCAAGACAGGCAGAGAGCTAGATGTTGGTGGTGCATTCTTGGGAGGTTGTGGCAAAAGGATCCCAGACAAGTTCAAGGACAGCCTGGGCTACTCAGAGAAACCCTATTTTAAAACCACAGTAACAACAAAAAAGGATTGGGGGTATAGCTAAGTGGCAGAGCACTTGTCTAGCATGCATGAGAGCACGAAATCTAGAAGGAATTAGGATTATTTAGAAACTAAGTACTAAGCCTGACACTGTGCACTTTTTGTTTTGAAAGTATTACAGATTGAACTCAGGGCCTTGCACAGGCTAAATAAGTGCTCTACCACTGAGCTGAACTATGCCCCCATCTCCACCAATTCTGAGACTAGGTCATGTTAAATTGCCCAGACTTGGCCTTGAATTTGCAATCTGCCTGCCTCAGATTCCCATGCATCTGGGGTTACTAGTATGTGTCACTATGCCTGGCTTAACAACTGTGTAAATTCTTAAAAAAAGTAAAGGTTCTGAGAGGGAAAGAAAATAGCAAGTGGTATGCTATCTAAAAGTTTTCATTTAGGGTAATGAGTAGAGGTTTATATGGAGAAGACTCGGGTTTGTGTAGTACCACCAAATAAGATATTCCCTATTGTTACTTTTTTTTTTTCCCTTTTTCTTTGTATCGGTACGGGGATCGAACTCATGACCACCTGCTTGCAAGGCAGGTGTTTATGCCACTGAGCTAAATCCCCAGCCCCTAATTGTTATTTTTAAACAAGCATGAAAAAGAAATATTTAAAACATTTCGAGAGTTACCTTTTCCTCAAATCAGTGACAAATGTGATGGGGAAAAAAAGAGGAAAAGAGTATGTGCACAATTTAAGGTAAAAAACATGCTAACTTCCTATTTCTACACTCAAATTCTATCCAGCATTATTCTGCACATGTGGATTTAATATTTGAATAGTCACTAAGTAGAGCATGGACTAGATACTGGGCTTAACAGAGAAAACACTATCACTGAACTTTGAAGAGAAATAGTCTTTTAATTGAATCTTCTATTCCTTTGCAAACAGATTCTATTTAAAGACATTTTATGTCCAAATTTATTTATTTCACTTTTTTCTTTGAGACAGGGTCTCTCTATGCAGGGCAGGTTGGCCTTGAGCTCACTACGATCCTCCTGCCTCAGTCTCCTGAGTGCTGGGATTACAGGCATGAGCCACCACGCCCAGCTGCTATTTTCACTTGTTATTGGGGATGGAATTTAAGTCTGCACTAGTCTACAACTGCAGTCCTTCAAAAAAATTTTTTTTCAGGGGCTGGGGATTTAGCTCAGCGGCCTAAGTGCCTGCTTTGCAAGCAGGCAGTCATGAGTTCGATCCCTGGTACCCAATAAAAACGAAAAAGACAAAAAGAAAAAATTTTTTTTTCTTGGTGGTACTGGAGATGGAATCAAGGGACTTAACAGTACATCCCCAGTCCTTTCTTTCATTTATTTATTTTTAAGAAATATCTTTTGAAATAGGGCATTTCTGTGCAGTTCAGGCTGGCCTTGGCCTCACAGTGATCTTCCTGTCTCTCAGCCTGAGTGCTGGGATTACACATGTGGGCCACTAGGCCCAGCCTAAATTTTGAGATAGGGTCTCATTAAGTCACCTAGACTGTGCTGCAACTTGTGATCTTACCTGTCTCCTAAAGTGCTTATAGTGTTGGTTGCACTTGGCGCTGTCCAGGTTTTTAAAAGTTTTGTTGCATACGAGTATACCCCAGCTATTTGCTACAGTGAATTATGCAGCATATCACTAAAGTTTTTGTTGTCATCATTTGGTCGTTTTTCTTCTCTCCACTTACATCTGACCAAAGTTTTAACTCCAATGTAGGAGTTATAATCTTCTAATAAAGAATGTGTGGAATACAAATCTTAGGTGTGGTGACACATGCCTGTAATCTGAGCACTTGGGAGGCCTGGACAATAAAACAAGATCCTGTCTTAAACAAAAAATCCCCACTATATCGTAATAAAGATAAGCAATTAAATGCCAGGTATATTTAAATCAATCCATACAAGAGCTGGAGAGTTAGCTCGGTGGCTCAAGTGCTTGCCTGGTAAGTGCAAGGTTGGGAGTTCAATCTCTGGTACCAAAAAAAAAAAAAAAAAAAAAAAGTCCATCAATCCATACATACTTATGCTATCTATGGTAGTATCCTATCCAATAGAGTAATTGTAATTAATGATCAAAGCATTTATCTAGTATATATTACTTGTTACTAAATTCTGCAACCTAAGAACATCATGCAGCCAAACAGAGGGATTTGACAAAACTCATTTGCTAGGAAAACTCCATTGAAAAGTATTTTAAGTACTGCCTTAATTAAAGACACTTACCGGGATTTAGATCTTGATCGAGAATGGGATTCAGAGTGTTTGGAAACTCTTGATGGACTACGAGATCCTGACCTGCTCTCCGATTTTACACGAGCAGGAGTTCCGGTTGGAGATTTTGACTGAGAGCGAGACTCCTAACAAAGAAGACAGTATTACAAATGGCACTGGTCACGTAGATGCCTAACACCTAACATTTAAAGTACCGTAATTATTTATATTGATTGCTCCTGAAAAACAAATGGTTAGGCAACGCCCTCCAGAAAAAATTTCAGCTCATTAATAGCCCACTGTTAATACTGCTAACTGTCCTCAATAATTTCCTACTTGAACCAGATCACCAATTCTCTATTAACTAAGTAATCATGCAAATTCATCTACAACTTGATCATACAGACACTGGAACATAAGCCATACATTTACTTAACCTAGGACCCATTCATTCTTCCAGATTCTTTTAATTCTACTTCACTCTTGCTTTCTACTTCTCTTCATTCTTCATTTTTTCATTTTTCATACTTCGTGTATTCTTCCCCAATTCAAACAATTCAAAATAGCCTTAAAAAATATTCAAGTGCTTCTATCTGACCAATCTTCTGTTCAATTTTTTCCCCCATTCAATTTTAATTTTCTGATCTTTAATACTTTTCATTAGCCTTCTTTTATCTTGATTTATCTTCCACATTCTTGGAAAAAACTCTTCAATTTCTTCACGAACATTAACCTTAATGGAAAAAGAACATTTAGTATATTTAAGCACGTGGGGATTATAAAACTCTGCTGGAGTTCAGAATGTTATCTACCAAATGGAAAACCAGCAGGTAAAGTGCAAATCACTAGTTTAAAAAAAAAACAAAAAACAATTTAATAGTTTTAAAAATTGCTCAATAGTGTAGTTTCTAACAAAGAGAATTTATTGAATTTCTCTTAATTTTTCCCCATACTCTTTACCCTCCTCCCCTTTCATGTTTCATTCTTGTTCCTAAAATGTGAACAATTTTAATATACTTAATTCAAACATAACTCTAATATGAAATGTAATCCCCCCACCTAAGAAGCTTTTACTACCGTATGACCTAAAGATTCTTACTGATCTCAAAAAATAAGCTTTCACTAAGTTACACTAAGAAACTAATACATAATTAAAGCAAAGCAGGCCAAAACAGTTATACACACTTATCTAAATTCACATATTACAGCACACATGCCAGAGATCAAAATAGCAAAATTACCAACAATCTCTCCTGATTTTTTATCTGACTACTTTTCTTTGCTTAATCATACTGAACCAGAAAGATACCTTTTGCAGCCAAGCATTCAGAAAAACTAAGGGAAAAGAGGAAGCACAGATTTTTAAAAACATTTCCCTCTGGCTTGTAATGTATGTGTGTATTTTTCATATTCTCTCTTTTCTTTTGTGACAATATTTTTTCTTTTTTGTGCCAGGGATCAAACTCATGACCTCGCGCTTGTCAGGTAGGTGCTTATGCTGCTGAGATAAATCCCCAGCCCCGGTGACAATATTTTCTATAGAGCAAAATTAACTTCTGAGTAAGTTGGGTATAAATCAAAACTTTCAGAACATTATTTGCAACTGATTAAAAGTTTGCATGACAGATATGATAAGCTGATGACCAAAACAAACAGGACAATTTCTCCACTAAAGCCTTATTAATGTCAGCAATTATCTCAATTTCACAACAGTAATTTCACACAAATTTTCAATGTCATGACCACGACACAACTTTAAAAAATTTCAAGTTTTAATGTCAAAAGATTTGTTAAGAATTGTAACAATACTAGCTGGCTTGTTTCTTAAGATGAAAACAAAATAGCTGCCTTTCTGTTCAATATCAATCTTTCCTATTTAGCTACTCCAGTATTTCACCATATCTTAGCTATTTGTCGGCGCAGCACTTCCAGTATTCAAAAAGAAAAAAATAATGTATGGCTAATACGCTTATAACTCAAGCCTCACAGGCTGGCTCAGTAACTGCTAAGAATATAGCCCCTTTGGGGGCTGGGGATTTAGCTCAGCGGCTTACAGTCTGGAGTTCAGTCCCAGGTACTGATAAAAAAGAATAGCCCCTTTGGCCTTTCCCTTCTTAAAACAAGGCAAGACAAAACAAAAAACTGGCGTAGCATTCATTTATGCTACTACTAAATAGCAGTGGCTGGAATAGTATCTATGAACATTACTCCACAGCCTTTATAATAATACATATGTATCAGAAAGTTTTGCTGTGAAACCTTTCATTTTAGGAAATAAAAACCATGTTAAAAGCTTTACTTTTTACATTTTACATTTACTTTTCCCCCCTTTTGCTAAAGTCATTAAGTTGTCAACACAGGGCTGAAATTTGCATTCCTCTTTGCCCCAGCCTCCTAGAATGTAAAACATACTATTAAACTATTAAATTTTTATCTCTCTTCAGTACTGGGGATTGTACCCAGACTTTGCATTGTGTGGCATTTCCACTTGTTAATTTTTTTTTTTAAACTAGGAATCAGCTGGGATGTTTTTTAATTTTTGAAGCAGAGTCTTACTAAATTGCCCAGACTGTGCTTAAACTTCAGGTTCCTTCCTCCCTCAGCCAGAGTACTGACTGAGATTACAAGGGTATCACCATGAGATGGCTCTGGATGTCTTTCAAAAAGTCAGCCATGAATTTAAAAAAGGTTTGCCTTTTGTTATCCAGGATGCTACAAACACTGTCTGTCCTTCTATCACAAGATCTGAATTTCTTCCTAGACTCAGAATAAACTATCATATAATTCTTCAGAAATATTTTATTATAATACCAAAATATGGCCCATCGATCTAAGAGCTCTATACTAAAGGCAGTCATATTTACCATTTTAAAGTAACTTATTTCTCAAACATGGCTGCCAAATAAATGACATTTTCTAAAACTCCGCATTAGAAATCAGATTACAAATGTTTTATGAAAGATATGCTAGACAATCTTTTTCCACTGCTGACCTGTCTTCATTATAAAAAAATTTCAACTGGTTTGTGAGACAAGATCTTACCTGTCACTTGTGACCCAGGCTGATCTTGAACTTATGGCTCAAGTGATTGTCCTATCTCAGCTTTCCAAATAGGAATATGCCACCATGTTCAGTTAATTCTTTAAAAGGACACTCGAAAACTATATAACCAAACTACAATCAGAAAAAGATAAATGGGGAGAGGTGGTCTCTGCCTTGTCTTCACTAAAATACTAACCTGTTCTTAAAACTGTCTTGTCAAATTTTACAAATTCCTCAGCAACCTGGCTCCTGTAGCCAATACTATAAAAACAAACTACTTCCATTAAAATGGACAATTAATGACTCCACCAAACTACTATCAGGTATTTTGGTGGTACTGGGGATTGAATGCAAGGCCCCCACTTTGGGCTGTATCCCCAGCCTTTTACTGTTTTTTGTTTGTTTACAGAGTTAACGCTATATAGCCCAGGCAGGCCTCAAACTCATGGCGATCCTCCTTCCTTAGCTTCTTAAGTACTGTTCGGGCCACCAGTCCTGGCTTTATCAGGTTTTTTAATAGCACAGGTTTAACAGAAATCTTCAATAGTGTTCTAGTCTAGTCTATAGTATAGTCTAGATACTATAAATCAAAAGCTAGGCAGAAAGTTCTCACAGTGTAACTCGAACAAACAGGTTTGTTTTGTTTTGTTTTGTTTTTTTGGTACCTATTACACACACACACACACACACACACACACACACACACACACACACACACAGCTGCAGAACATGAATAATTCCTAGAGTAAGCATCTTTCATTCAATCATTATAGATGAAAAATGTTAAAATATACATATGCTTAGTATTTAATACTAATTAAAAGCAAAACCAAAACCCAAAACAACAACAAACACTACAAAATAACACAAATGCTGTTCTATATATATAGTGGATCCCTGACTTAGGAACTCAATTCATTACAGGAGGCTGACTGTAACTCAAGTTGTCAATAGAAGGCTCAGGCTCCTCCATAGCCTTCAAACTCTCTCTCCTGTATACAGGCAAATCTCAACATCTTTAGAGAGACAGTGGCCCAGAATTTCTCAATTAACCCCACACAGGAAAGGATGCTGTAATGTTCCTCTCAAAACTTAAAAGGTTAAATCTTTATCTTAAACCACCAGTAAGCCTAAGTAGCTGGGATTTGGGTCCTAACTCAAGACTTTGGTCCTGAGTTAAAATTAAAATCATGGTCAAGTTGTTCATATCAGGCTGGTCCTAACTTGGAGGGTCCACTGTAATCCATTCCCAATTATCTGTTAAAGACAGGCAAAATCTAAGCCAGATAAACACACATTTATATAAATTCTATATAACAATAACCTGTAAAACTCCTTTAAAATATTATTTCTCTACTACTTTTAAAACTGGAGGTTTCTATTCAAATATACACTAGCAAAACATATGTCCCCAAAGAGGAAAGAATGTACTTAAGATTACCCAAATATCTGATGATACTTTATTACACTATGAATATCATCCTTTCGGATGTTTTTAAAAAACCTTTCGTATTCACTTTATTTCTATTTTCCTGTCTATAGACTAACAATCCTGCCTTCTTCCTCTTGAGTATGATAGGGGTATTTCTTTTGTAGATTATTAGGCTGACAAAAATTACTTCCAGCCAGTCTTTTCTTAAATCTAACTGTTATTGTTATTATTATTATCATTATTATTTTGGTACCAGGAATCAAACTCAGGACCTTGGGATTGCCAGGCAGGCACTTGTGCCACTGAACTATATCCCCTGGCCCTTTAACTGGTATTAGAGCAATCCCTTAGAAACAAAAAAATGATTGCTCACAGTATTAATTTCAAGCCAGGTGGTGGTAGAGCCTATAATTCCAGCACTTGGGAGGCTGAGACCAGCCTGGGCTACATAAATGAAATCAAGGCCAGCCTGTACTACATAATGAGACCCAATCTTTAAAAAAAAAAATTTTTTTTTTAAAAAAGAATCTCTTCCTTTTACGGGTGAGGATTTAGCTCAGCTGCACAAGTGCCTGCCTGGGAAGCACAAGGTCATGAGTTCAATCCCTAGTATCCCTCCCCTAAAAGGATTTCTCCCTTTTAAAGACTATAACTGCTTCATTTTGTCAAAGTAGTCTCTATCTGCAAAGACCCACAGATATTGTTAATTTATTATAAATGATTTAGTAATTGGCACTTTTAAATTCATACCACAATCATGAAGTTATCTATAGAATTTGTAACCTTCTATACAAATTTTGAATATGGCTCATAAACATAGCAGTACATATATCACAACATAGAAAAAAAATTCTTTTGGAGACAGTCTTCCAACATAGTTCAGGCTGGCTTGAACTCACTATGTAGCCCACAATGTCCTCAAATGCATTATGGAGATGGTGCTACATCAGTCTCCTGAGTGCTGGGATTATAGGACTGTGCCACACCTGGCTATTTTCCCCCCAGTACTGGCGTCTGAAGCCAGAGACAGCATCTGAACTGAGTTATAGCTCAGATTTTAAAACCTTTTTAAGACAGGGTCTCATCGAAGTCACTAAATTGCCCAAGCTGTGCTCAAATCTGCAATTCTCTTGCCTTAGCTTCCCAGAGTACTGGGATTTCCACTTATAGCCATGCACTACACCATGCTCACCTACCAAAATGAATTGTAATGTTCAAAAAGCCACTGTATAAGTGGTAATTTCAAAGGTTTAAAAAAA